GTGGGGTGAAGGCACATGGGACTTCAGGATGGGGGCCTCCACAGCAGAGGTGTCTCCCTAAGGCTCACACTCCCTGCCTGTGTGTATCAGTGGGGAGCTTGTTGGGGTGCAGGCTCCAGGTAGCTTGGACTTTACTGCTACTGCATGCCCAAGTGTACATGTGATGCTGGGCTGCTGAGTCCAGGGGCATTCAGGGCTGATGAACTGGCACAGAAACATCTGAAATGTGTACACTGGATCCCTGGCGCTCAAGAGGTTAATGTTTGGGGTTCATGTTTTGCAACACTCAATCCTCAGAGGCCATGGCACACAAGAGGTTAATGCCCATGTGTTGAGGGGTTAACATGGGGTCCTAGTGCTGGTCTCTCAGGGCGAAGGGCTGGGGAGTGTCAGTGCGGCTGCCCCCCAGTCCCTGCCCCACAGCTCAGATGGGAGCCAGAGCCCAGCTGGGAGCAGCAGTGCCTGAAATGGTCATGAGTGGGTGGTAGTAGTGCTGCAGCGAGCCATGTAAAGGAATCCCTGCCTGCAGCTCCCAGCATGCCCGGCTGCCTCTCCTGCCTGCCAGCCTGGCCTGGGACAGGGGTTCCTTCACACACTCCTCAGGTGGCAGTTGTGCCCTGGGACTGGGACTTATGCTGCTGCTCCCCCTCTTCCCTGCTGCAGGCTGCCGGCAATGTGGTAAAGAGAGCATCAGACAATCTGGTGAAGGCAGCACAGAAGGTAGCTGCATTCCAGGGCCATGACGAGATGGTGGTGGTGAAGGAATTGGAGGAATTGCACAGGTGAGGAGTGGGGCTGTTCTCATGGAGCAGGGGTGGCTCTGGCTGCCACCACAGCCTGTGTGCGCCTGTCTCGGGAGCATGTCCTACCACCCACTGGCACAGGGCACGTCACTGGAGAGCCTCAAAAAAATGGTGTGGGTGCACCCATCCCACCCAGCACCAATTAAACATGGTGGCTTCACCCTTGTTCTGACACGAGTAGCCGTGGGCACAGATGATGACTGTGCATGCTCCCAGGAGCGTAATGCCCTGGCTTCTCCTTGGCGTGGTGCCTGCACCATCCCAGTGTCCGGGACACACATGAAGA